ATTTTTATATAATTAATGTTAAAAAATATAAAAAATAATTAAAGACACTAAATTTATTTAAAATTAAAAATTTAAGAATTAAAATTAACATTTAACATTTTCAATATTATTATCGGCGACCCCCAGGATTGAATCTCCATAACTAAGTATTGTCTTTTTAGTGTCAACAATAATTAAGTGTTGTCTTAAAATTCACACCAAATTCCCATTTTTTATATTATGTATGGCACATGCAAAATGCAACGACTGTTTTGTTATTGTTGGTCCCAGATTGGGCCTCTAAAGCATTTTTTGTGTACACATGGGCCTGAGGGGCTTGGAGAGAATTAGCCCACCACAAAGCAAAAATAAGTACATTTCCGATCTCAAGTCGAATCCCAAGGGAAGAGGTTGGATTTGGGTTGGAGAGTCTCTCTGCTGCCAATTGCAAGCGATTGCTCTCTCTCCTATCTGTCTCTAACTCTCTCCATCTCGTCGTAATTCTCTCGATTGTAATTGTAATCGGACGATTACTACTGCTACTATAATTGCAACAATACTCAAGAATGTGATGCCAACCACCATTACTGTTGCCATAGATTGCTTTCTTCCCCGACTATGTAATTCTGTTGAGTGCCTTCCAGAGCCACACAGAGGCATTGGTACCCCACAAAGGCCTGAATTATTCTCATATCTGGATGCTGGGAAAGTGGTTAGCTGACCTCCGGAGGGGATTGGACCAGTGAGGTTGTTGTTGGAAACATCAAAATCACTAAGAAAACTGAGAGTCCCTAACGAAACTGGCAGATAGCCTTGAAGATGATTGTGAGAGAGATCTAAAACTCCAATAGCTTTCAAACCTCCAAAGCTGTCAGGAATATCTCCAGTTAGCAAGTTGTGTCCCAAATTCAAGACTTGCAAGTAGCTCATCATACCAAACTTCTCAGGAATGGTTCCAGACAAGGAATTGTAAGAGAGATCAAGGTATATCATGCTACCATCACTAGAAAAAGTATAAACAATAAAGCCAGAATAAACTCTGGTGGATGAGCAAGAATGAACCATTGGGAGACTTTCAAGCTTCTCTGCTCGCATCCCCTCAAATTCAAGCAAACCTCCAGCACCCCTGCATGCTGTTCCACCTTCATTTCTTATGAACGCAAATTGCTTCCCGGAAACAACGCCAGCGATGACCGCGCCAGTTTGGTTGGCAAGCTCTGGTGGTAGATTTCCAGATAGGGCATTGCTGTTTAAGTCAAGCCAAATGAGGTTCTGGCAATTACCTAGTTCAGGAGGGATCTGTCCAGTGAGTGAATTGTTACCCAATTGCAAGATAGCGAGTTTATGAAGATTTCCAAAACCAACAGGGATTTGTCCAGTAAGGCGGTTGCTGGAAAGTGACACCCATATCATATTAGTACAGTTGCCAATGGACTCTGGAATGGTTCCACTTATGAGATTGTTGTTGAGAATGAGGGTCTCCAAGTTTCTTCCATTAGAGCAAGTGTCTTCTGGGATCTCACCAGTGAGATTATTCGCCCACATAACCAAGTCCGAAAGATTTGGTAAGGTCCAAATCTCTGAGGGAATAGAACCAATCAAGCTGTTGAAACTGAGATCAATTGTCCTTAGGCTCTTGCAGCTTCCAAGCTCCAACGGCACTGTTCCTGAGAGATAGTTGTTGGCTAAAAGAATCTTTTGCAGGGCTGAGGTCGAGGAAGAACAGAATCCTGGAGGGATAGTCCCTGTAAAGCCATTAGAACTGAGGTCGAGTACTTGAAGCTGAGTACAATTAGTGAGAGATAATGGCACAAAACCAGTTATGTTGTTGAATGGCACATGGAAATATCTCAAATTCTTGACATTACTCACAACTGTATTGAGGAAATCTCCTGAGAGCAGATTGTTCCCTAGGTTCAGACTGTGCAGAGAAGAGCATGACATAAAAGGCGCAGGCAAGCCACCTTCAAGCTTGTTGAATGAAAGGTCAAGCTCTTCAAGACTAGTACAAGCCTGTCCTAACTCGGGAGGGATTTCACCAGTGAACTGATTATGGGACAGAGATAGATGCCTCAAATTCTTGAGATTTCCCAACAAGGAACCCGAAATATTGTTTTTCAGGCCCAAATGGGACAAGTCAAGCACCCCAAGAAGTGTACAGCTAGCCAGACTCGTCGGGAACTGGGTATCAGGAAGGCTGTTGTGAGATAACTTGAGCATGGTGAGGTTGCTGCAGCGGCTGAAGTTGAGGGAGGAGAAGTTGCCGGAGAAGTTGTTGAATGAGAGATCAAGATGCTTGAGACTGAGAGAGTCAGCCACAAAAGAAGGCGGTATCTCCCCGGATAACAAATTGTATGAGAGATCAAGAATTGACAAATTCTTGCAAGAAATGGGAGTCACACTGAGCTTCTCGCCGAGCTTGTTATCAGAAAAATTGAGTAGATTCAAGTTCTGGCAACTAGAAAGAGAGTAAGTCAAGAGGGCCGAATCAGAAATCTTATTGCGAGAAAGGTCAAGCTGCAGCAAAGAAGGACCAAAAGGTATCCGATCCCTAGCCCCAGGAATTGAATTTCGAGACATATTAACATAAGCCAGACGATCGCAAGAAGAGAAAAAGGATTGTCCTTGGCCCGGGAGGGGGTCGGAGAAGTTATTGGAGGACAAGTCAAGGGTGTCGAGCATGCAGGAGGATGAGGCAGAGAGATCCCCGGCAGAAAAGGAATTCCCTTGCAAATAGAGACGGCGGAGGGCGGACATGGCGGTAAGATTAGGGAGGTGCAGGCTCCCAACAAGACCTGCATAGCTGAGGTCGAGAGTGGAAACACGGCCATCAAGAGAGCAAGTGACTCCCTGCCAGGAACAGGGGCTGGAAGAAGTATCAGTCCAGTTAACCAAGATAGCATGAGGATCTGAGGTAACAGAGAATTTTTTGAAAGCCATCAACATGAGCACATCATCATTGGCTCGTGTCCAAGTGAGGAGTAGGGGCAGCATAAACAAAGGAAAGATGCCGTGCTGCAACAGTTGTACCCTGCATAATATCTTCATTTTTTTTTTTTTTTTTGTTTTTTGTGTCTTGGGGTTGAGATTTTGTCAAGGAATTAGCCTGGTATGGATGTTTTGCATTTGCACACAAAGAATGGGATTCTCCCTGACCCCAAAGTACTAGCAGGGCATACAGTTATGTGTCTGTAATCTGTCCGTGTTCACTTTATTTTTAGATCTGATCTAAATTTAAGCCGAAAATCTCAAGAGTAAAAAAAATTAATGGTACGAAGTGCAAACCAGTATGAAAGATGTAAGAAACAAAACTGAATTTGTAACAAAAACGAAAATCAGAAGAAAATGACAACAGTTGGAACAGAGGAAGGAGAGGAAAAGTGATTGGCACCTGCGGTGGGTGCGCGCTTGCGTTCAGAGATGATGATGATGATGTGATGTAGTGTCAAGAAAATAGAGATGTCCAGAAAATCTGTTAGAGAAATTTGGCTGGTACCTGCACTGCACTCAACTGAAAATGTATCTATTAAGAAGATTTCCAAATATGAGACCCAGAAAGAAACCAGCGTCTGTTGTTCTTTGTACCCTGTATGGAGAGGTAGTGGGGAGGAGAGAAGCGAAGTGGAAACGAACGTAAAGAGAGAGCGCGAGTGATTTGGGGCATATGGTGCAATTCATCCCCTCTACTTTGATTGTTGAGGCATGTCAGCCCCTTTACTTAGAAATAGTGCAAATCAACCCTCCCACTTACGAAAACCATCAAATTAGTCCTTCTGTTAATGATGACCTCACTTTCCATGACTATTGCTATTGCCTCGTTAAACTGCGCTTATGTGGCACAACTAGCAGAGCGTGATGTGGCAACTTATTTGACTATTTTGTGCCATCTTTCTCCTTTCCTTGTTGACATGGAGGTCACTTTAATGTCAACTTAAAAAATTAAAATTAAACTTAACATAAGATGATGTTAGTTGGGTAGTTATTAAATAAAAATAAATTACTATTTTACCATAAAAGTTATGAATAATGATAAAAAAATATAATATATATTTAATGTACGCACTTAAAACACATGTTAAGGAAATCCTTAATTTTAAAATTAATTTTT